GTTAAATCACTTACCTCAAACTTAAAGTAAGAAAAAAAAAAACTTGCTTTTTGAGAGTCCTGAGGAAAACTATGGGAACAACAGCGTTAGTCCGTTAGTGTTAGTCACAGGAAACATTTTGAGAACTGCTGCCTTTCTCTCATATATATATATTGTGTTCATTTGAGCTACTTCTGCTGTTCTATATATAATATTTGTAACTGCAGCTGTTTCAGAATTTATAAAATGGTATTGAAATGGACAAAATGGTGTCTGTGGTGTAGCAACTTGGCGTCTAGCTGTGGTTCGCAGAGAAGGCTCTCGTTTGATTCCCACGTGGGGACTCATTTTTATTGAGTATCTCAGGCCTTTCTGCTGGGATGTTGTGTCTCTCTCACTCAGCCTAGGGTGGCCCAGAAAAGCAGGGTCTTAAATTTTGTTGATTAGGCATAAAAACACCCTACCTAAAAAAAAGGAGGACAGAATGGAGCAAGCCAAATTTATCATTGATCAGAACAAAGGCAAAAAGGTTTAATTGTGTCTCATGTAATTTCCGATTCAGCCATGTATGAGGCATTAGAGTATGGGCTCACCCACACACATACACACACACATGCACACACACACAGCATACACGAACACACACACGTACCAGAATTTTTTGGGCATAAATTTTGTTTTTTTCTCCAAATTCTGTTCATTTACTTGAAATTGAACCGGTATGATCATTTAAAAAAATTGGTTCTTCTGCTGACTGTAATGTAATATGCAGGGTTTTGGTTTACCTGAAGGAATGAAGCTTTTCCCAGTGTCGTATAATTATTTGTAATGTACTTCATGATCATGAGAACGGATGCTCTGGTCTGGATTGCTCCTTGTTTTTTATTCAACACCTATGGACCCAGTCTTTGTACATGATGTATGATACACTCTTGTAACGCCTCGAATCTGTGGCATTTATATTAAGTTATATGACCTACTTTTGTGTTCGCAAGTGCTATAAAACTCTTACAACATAAATGTAAAACAATTTTAGTCAGATTTTTTAGATGTTCATTTTTTTCAGTATTATTTGTAAGCTGGCTGTGAAGCCATATATATATATATGTGCAGAGTTTGGTTTTAAGAAGTTATGTATACACATTGTGGGGTGTGCATAAAATGTGGAATATGAGGGATTCCCGGATTTTCTTTGGTGGTATAGTTCAGCTTAAATTAGCTGGGCGAGTGGTTGGCGGATGCTCTGGTGTGGTTTGCTTCTTCTTTCCTATAGATCAAACATCTATTGTCCTGATCTCTCCTCCTTCTTTTTTGTGTTTGTTACTCTCTTCTAACACCTCTATTCTTCGGCACTTAAATGACCTTATTGTGTTGCAAGTGCCATAAAACTCTAAAACTAAAACTTAATAAAACTATTATTAGCTGTTTTTTTTATTTGGAAAAGCTGCTCAAGTTGAAGGACAAAAATTAGGGTTTTGATTTTGATTTTCTTTCTGTTTACCACTGTTTTTGGATTCACCATCTTTGGTTGAAGTTAAAGCGGACTCTATTGTAAAATATAATTAATGGATGTATCGTCCATGAGAAACTGTCTGTGACCTTTAAGTTTGAGCTCAAGTCTCTCTCTGTTTGCTGGACATTTTGAAAGCCTGGTCAGTTGTTTTACATAGTAGTAGGCCTACATTATTACACATGACGTAATGTGATGGGTATAT